GGGGGTCGGGCTCTGCTCCCAGGGAACAAGGGACAGGAGGAGAGGGAACGGCCTCAAGCTGTGCCAGGGGAGGGTCAGGTTGGATACTGGGGAAATTCCTTCATGGAAAGGGCTGTCCAGCCCTGGCACAGCTGCCCAGGGCAGGGGTGGAGTCTCCATCCCTGGGGGGATTTAACTGACTTGGGGATGTGGCACTTGGGGACATGGGTGGCCTTGGCAAAAAAGCACCTGTATTAGGATTTTACCTCCAGTTTACCAGATTTAAATCTGAGTCCAAAAGTGCATGAGTGTTCTCATCCTCTGGCTGGATGTACCCTGCAGGCATCCCAGACTGGGTGGGGAATCCATCCCTGATGGGGGGGAGGGAGATCAATCCCTCTGAGGGAATCCATCCCTGCCAGGGAAAATCCATCCTTGTGGGGGTGAAGCAGCCATCCCTGCAGTGGGGGAGATCCATCCCTGCCAGGTTGGGATCCACCTGCAACCTTCCTGCAATGTGAGAAGCCCCAATTTGCTCAGTTGTCCCAGTCTCCAGCAGCGTTTTACACTCTTGGCAGGGAATGTGTTGGCAGAGCCCACTCCAAACAGCTCAGCCCCCCAGCTCTGAGATGCACTGCAATGATGGGATCATCCAGGGACTTCCTGCTGCAGCTCCCACCTGGAGTTCTGACCTTGGGACGAACTGCCTTCCCCATCAGAGATAGAAGGGAATGTGTGCAGGGGGGCCCTGACTCTTTTTCGGGCACTTTCAGGAGCAGGAGTTGAGTGTGAGGTTTGTCTGGGTGGGGGTGGGGGACCCTGGCCAGGATGTGGGGTAAGGGGGGTGCAGCTGGGTGGGAAGGGCTGGTTTTGCCAGGGGGGCCATTTCCTGGCCCGGGGGGGCTTGTGGTCCGTGGGTGGGACCCTTGCACTCAGAGTTTCCGTCCGCGGGATGAAGCAATACCGCGGCTCTGCCCCCCCTCACCCCCCTGGCCTGGGCACGTCTGAGATCGAATTTCCCTCAGCTTTGCCCTTCTATGGGCAAAAACCCTTTTGGTGGAGGCTTTTGGGCCGGACTCCTGTTCTCCTGCTCTCTCCATCCCCGTGGAGCCAAGGGGAGGCAAAGCCAGCACTGGTCCGACAGCAGATGTCATTCCTTGGCCTTTGCCAAGTGTGACAGGACCCAGGAGTTTGTAAAGTTCCCCCTCCCACAGTCCTAGGATGGGACCAGATTTCGGGTGTTTGTCTCCAAGCAGGAAGCGCCTGCAGGCAAAAATCAGGAGAGCACAGCCTCCCTCCCCCTGAACACACATTTTGAGGGGTCCAAGCCAAGAATAAGAAAGTTCCAATGGGATTGATTTTGTTCTAACTCAGAGTGTTTGCATTCCTGGGCTCGGGAATCCATGTTTCCAACCTGGGGTGCCAGGGTTGGTAGCAGGGTGCTCTCCCCAGGACAGGAGTCATGTTCAGCAGCATGAGATGGGCAAAGGGAGATTTCTGGGAGGGGAAATGTCACCCAGAAAGGATGGGGAGCCACCATGGGCAGTGTTGTTGTGGGAGAGGAGCCCAGGAGCTGGTCCCCCCTGTCCAGGGCCCAAGGCTTGAGATGGGCTTCACAGGCTGGTTTAAACTGGAAATGACAGTCCCACAGCTACATACCAGATGGGGCTGGGACACCTCTGGGTCCCTGGGAGTGGGGTGAGAAATTTTGGGCTCAGTTTGTGGTGAGGGAGATTTTTGCTCCTCAGCCACAGAGCTCCTTGCAGCTCCCAAGGCTTGTGCTGGTTCGCCCAGCCCAGATCCCCTGAGGATCCCTGCCTAAAGCCCAAGGTCCTGTCAGCATGCCAGGATCTTCCCTGGCTGTGATGGGGATCCTGAATTCCAGCAGGTATCTGATGTGGAGGATCTGACCCTGGCAGAGGTCAGGTTTGGAAGTGATGAGTGATCTGCCTGTCAGCTCCAAGTAGGATGTTTGGATCATGTCCTGGATGGGGAGCAGGAACACCAGCCCCTCCATGCCCAAGGGCAGGAGCAACACATCCTGGACCCTTCCTGGGCAGAGCTGTTCCTGGGACCTAAACACACTGTCCCAAGGAGCTGTGGGTCTCCCAGCCCCTGTCACTACCCAGCTTTCCCCTCCAGTGCAGAGGAAATGCCTGCAGGCTCTGGAATGCTCCTTGGCCCCATCTGGCCCACACATGTCCTCTCGGCACCGTGCCTCGAGGAAAATCAGGAGGCTTCCCAACATTCCCGCTGCTTCTCGCTGGCCTCGGCGCTGGGGCCGTTCCAGCTGCTTCCCCCAGCCCTGCGCCGTGCCCCCACCACCCCGAGGCCACTGACCCCCATTGCTCCGCAGGGAACGATGCCGTGCTGCGGAAACTGTCGGAGCTGCAGGTGGGCGAGAAGTGCTGCGTGGTGGGGACGCTCTTCAAGGCCATGCAGCTCCAGCCCTCCATCCTGCAGGAGATCAGCGAGGAGGTAATGGAGGGACACTCCCCTGATGCACCCCCTCCACCTCCTCCCTACAGCTCAGGGGATGTGCCAGCACATGTGGGAGCTCGCGGCTTCCCGGTGCTCACTGTGGCCAGGGAACTGGCAGGGATTACAGCTGGGTAGGTGGGCTGTGCCTGCTGTGTCCCTGGAGGCCAGCTTGGTGGCATTTCTTGGTGCCAGCATGTTTCTGTGTGTGGTGCTTATGGAATCATGGAATGGTTTGGGTTGGGAGAGACCTTAAAGCTCATCCACGGGCAGGAACACCTTTCACTAGACCAGGTTGCTCTGAACCCCATCCAGCCTGGCCTGGAACACTTCCAGGGATGGGGCATCCACAGCTTTTCTCGGCAGCCTGTGCCAATGTCTCACCATCCTCACAAGGAAGAATTCCTTGCCCATATCTAATCCAAATCCACCCTTTGTCCATCTGAAGCTGTTTCCCCCTGTTTGCCACCACCCTCACTCAGTGATTTTCCAACCCTCAAAGAGTTTGGATCCAAGGGGTTGGTGACACAACCCCCTTTCCCTGCCAACAGGGGAGGGGGATGAGGGGGGTGTCAGGGAAGCTCTGGCATCCCTATGCAGTGCCAGGGGCCCGTCTCCTCCCAGCTAGCTCATGTTGGGAAGTTTAAAGCTCCCACCACCCATCTGAGCTGCTTCCTCCTTGGATGGGGCTCACGTTCAGGACGCTGCAGGGAAGCGCTGAGTGAAACCTGCCCATCCGGGGGGACTCCAGCTGGGGTGTTGGCCATGCTGGTGGGGGGACCTGGGGCAGGAAAAGGTCCCTGGGGGCCACTGGTCCTCACTGAGGCTGTCAGAGCTGTCCCTGCCCACCCTGCAGCACAACCTGGTGCCTCAGCCGCCCCTGCCCAAGTACATCCAACCCTCAGATGAGCTGATCCTGGAGGATGAGCTGCAGCGGATTAAGCTGGAAGGAGCCATTGATGTGCAGAGGCTGGTGACAGGTAAGGGCCAGCAGTGGCTCCACAGTGGGACCCACCCCACGGGTGCTGACCAGGGCTGACTGCCCACTCTGTCCCAGGGACCATCGTGGCCGTGTACGGCTCCGAGCAGGACGATGGCAGGTTCCTGGTAGAGGATCACTGCTTCGCTGACCTGCCACCACCCCTGCCCTGGAACGGGCCCACCTCTGACCGGTGAGTCAGCAGGAGCAGGGCTGGCACTGTGTCCCTGCCCTGCCAAGAGGGCTGGTGGAGGCGGTTGTGCCCCCTGCCCTGGCTCTGTGATGCCCCTTGGTTTGGGAGCATGGCACGCTGCCCAAGCCTCTCCATCCATCCAGGTTTGTGCTGCTGGCCTCAGGGCTGGGGCTGGGCAGTGGGAGCGGGGAGGCCCTGCTGAGCACCCAGCTGCTGGTGGATGTAGTGACAGGGCAGCTGGGCGCCGAGGGCGAGCAAAGCTGTGCCGCCCACATCTCCCGAGTCATCCTGGCAGGGAACCTGCTGAGCCAGAACACGCAGAGCCGGGACACCATCAACAAGGTACAGCGGCAAGGGGGGGCTCACAGAGCTTCTGAGGCGCCGGGATGATGTGGGGAGGGGGCAGAGGGCACACGGGGTTGTTCTTCACTGTCTCCCTGCTCACCCAGGCCAAGTATCTGACCAAGAAGACTCAGGCAGCAAGCGTGGAGGCCGTGAAGATGCTGGATGAGATCCTGCTGCAGCTCTGCGTGAGTGCTCGGGGTTGGCCAGGGAATCGGGTTCCTTTTGGGTGAGGGAGCCTAGTTCCTGAGGCAGGGGAGCAGCACTGCTATCAGCCCAGGGTGTGGGGTGGCAAACCCCCTTCCCCAGCACCCACCTTCCCTTTGAGCACCTCCTAGAGAGAGGCAGCACAAAACCCAGCTCCAGATCCTTCTCTCAGGATCTAGCCTCCATGGTGAAACCAAGTGGAGTGTCCTGTGGGAAAGGGGCAGGAGTGACACCAGGGCTTTGCTCTGAGCCCCCTCAGAGGGCATTTTGGCTGCCCTGTTGATCCCTGCTCTGCCCGCAGACCTCGGTGCCTGTGGATGTGATGCCCGGGGAGTTCGACCCCACCAACTACACGCTGCCACAGCAGCCACTGCACCGCTGCATGCTGCCCCTGGCCAGCCCCTATGCCACGCTCCACCTTGTCACCAACCCCTACCAGGCCAACCTGGATGGTGTCAGGTAAACAAAGCTAGTGTGCCACCAGATCTGGTGACAGCTGTCAGCAGCACAGCACTGCAGAGCATGTCCTTGCATGTCCAGCATCCAAATCTCCCCTTCTTACCCCAAAAATATAGGTTTTTGGGGACATCAGGACAAAATGTCAGTGACATCTTCAAATACAGCAGCATGGATGACTACCTGGAGATCCTGGAGTGGACACTGCTGGCAGGACACATCAGCCCCACAGCCCCGGACACCCTAGGTACAGCAAGGACTTGGGGGGGGTCACCCTCCCCAGGGTTGCAGGTCCCCCCCTAATTCTCATCCCCCCCAGGCTGTTACCCGTTTTACAAATCGGACCCGTTCATCCTCACCGAGTGCCCTCACGTCTACTTCTGTGGGAACGCACCCCGCTTCCAGTCCAAACTGCTCCAAGGTGCTCCTGCAGATCCTTGTGGGGGGCTGGGAGGTGCCGTGGGGCTCCTCCACCTGACACCCGCCTGTGTTCACAGGGGCAGAGGGGCAACGGGTGCTACTGGTGACAGTGCCCGACTTCAGCACCACGCAGACCGCCTGCCTCGTCAACCTGCGCAACCTCACCTGCCAGCCCATCACCTTCTCCGGCTTTGGGGACGAGGACGAGGACGGGGACATGGAAGTTGGGCACTGACCACAGGGAGGGCATGGTCTCCATTGCCCCCACCCCTCAGGGGGTCCTGGCACCGACCACCCTTATCTGTCCTCTGGGAGGGGGGCACTGGAGGGACAAAATGCTCATACCAATATAACTTGATTTATTTGTGTAACGAAACTGTGTGGATGGGAGAGGGGCTGTGCCCGCCTCTGTGGGCCCTGCCCCGGCGAGCGGGACCACCCCTGCCATGCCACTGGGACAGGGACAGTGAGCTGGCACTGCCCAGCCCCGAGGGACGGGGTAGCATGTCCCTGACAGCGCCCAGCTGTGAAGGCCAATGCCCTCAGTCCAGGGAAGCAGCAAGGTGAAGGGCTGGAGCCCACTGGGAGCAGCTGCCCAGGCTCAGGGAAGATGTTGGAAGTGAATGCTGGGGCATCTGACCGTGGCTTGAAGCAGAGCAAAGGCCTGAGCATCCCTAGTCCCCAAAGTTCACTGTGTAGGTCTCAGCTGTGGTGAGAGGCTGCATTGTCCCCGTGCCCAGCTCCCAGCCCTCCATCTCTGTCACCAGCTCGGTGACCACCTCTGTCTCGGTGTCCATCTCCCAGGTGCCGGCCGTGGGCGGCTCCTGGCTCCAGGGCGTGTAGGCTGTGCTGCTGAAGGGGAAGGGCAGGGCCGTGGTGGCCAGCGGGGCTGTGGGGCCACTGGTGGTTGTGGTGGCATTGAAGGCGCCGCAGCCGCAGCTGCTCCCGCAGCGCGGAAAGATGCGGTGCCGGAGGCGCATCCGCAGGCGCAGGCGCTCGCGGGGTGTCATGGGCCGGCCGGGCACCACGAGGCGGATCGGCCGGTTCCCATTCATGGCCATGATCTCCCGGATGCGCTTCCAGTTGGAGCGGGACAGGACAAAATTGCACTGGGTGGCCCCAATGTCGTAGAGGACGTGGCAGGTCTTGACGCTGGGATTGTAGCCCTCGGCCCGTGCCGACACACGGTACTCGCCCGGGTTCAGGATGCGCCAGTAGTCCCCACCGCTGGCTGTGATTACAGAGGGCAGCCGGGTGGGACAGAGGCGGTGCAGGGCTGCCAGCAGCCTGCCCACATTTCACAGCCCCCTACCTGTTTTGATGTTGTGGTTGATGCCCCCCACCACGATGGTGGCGTTGGCAATGGGCTCTCCCTGCTGGTCTGTCACTATGCCCTTGATTCCACGATGGACCTGGGTGAGGAAAGGGATGAGCAAAACCGTGTGGGGCAGGTGGGGTGGCCTTAAAGGTGTCCCAGCACATACCTGCTCCATGAAGGTGAGCAGAGACTCCTTGTTGTTCTCCCACTCCTGCTGCAGCTCACTCTCGTGGGGGAACTTGTCGCAGCCCAGGTAGACAGACAGCTCCAGGCAGTTGGTGTGAAGGTAGCTGAAGTCATTCATGCCTGCAAGACACACGGACATGTGCCCAGCCAGCCGCTCACTCACATTCCTGCAGTGGGGTCACAGGGCAGCTGTGCCACAGGCCCCAACTTACTGCCAGCCCGGGGGTGCCACTTGGCGCCCTGCACGATGCCCATGGCGTCAGTCACGTCCTGCGCGTGGCAGCCCCCACGGAAGGTCTCAGTCATGGTGAGGTGTGCTGAGGCATAGGAGATGGCGAGCCAGCGGAACACGGCGTGGTCGGGCGTCTCCTGCAGCTCGGGATGCTCGTCCTCATAGTCCAGTGGGCGAGGGGCAGCTGCCGGCGTCGGGGGGCTGGGCCGGGCCATGTCAAAGGGGAAGGACACCAGCTTCTCCCCGCCCTGCAGGTTGGCTCCCAGCACGAAGGGGTTCTTGTCCATCCATGCCATGACAGCCCGTGTCTCCACCGCCACCTGTGAGGTGGGCACAGGGTGGGAAGTGTTACCCCCCTGTCACCTCCTCCCCTTCCCTGCCCCACCTCCACACCCCCCTCCGTGCTCACTGCCGCATCCTCAGCCAGGTAGTGCTCCGGGATGGGGATGTGGTGATTGGGGAACTGGTGGGGCACCAGCCGCCTCTCCTCCGCTGCCCACAGCGCTGAGGCCAGGTCGGGAAAGTTCTCAAAGAGGTCGAAGCCCTCCTCTGTCCAATGGCCCAGCGCCCAGTTGCCCAGTTCAGAGCCCTGTGGATGGCCCAGGACAGCGGTGAGCCCAAGGAGAGCTGCATGCTACCACCCACATCCCATCCCCTGCTCTTCCATCCTGTCCCATTCCACCACTCTGCCATCCCATCCCAGCTCCCCACCATCCCATCCCACCGTTCCAGGTCTCATCCCCTGCCCTGACATCCCAGTTGCCCGGCTTGGAGCCCTGCCACCAGCCCAGGGCAGCAGTGAGCTGCAAGGGGAGGGCAGCATCCTACCACTCTGCCATCTCATCCCACTGCACCACATCCCATCCCCACTACCCCGCTGCTCCACTGACCCATCCCATTGCCCCATGGCCGATCCCACCACCCACATCCCACCCCGCTGTCCCCTCACCGCCTCGCGGGCCAGCTCGTAGCCGTCAGGGTTGAGGGAGGGGACGAGGTGGATGCGGGTGTCAGTGACCAGGCCCCGCACACGGGGGTTCCCATCTTGGTACTCCTTGCACAGGAACTGCATCAGCAGCAGCAGCAGCTCCCGGCCCAGGGCCTCATTCCCGTGCAGCCCCGCCGTGTACCGGAACTCGGGCTCACCTGGGGCAGGGGGTGAGCAGGGTCAGCCAATGCCAGGGACCATAGCTGGGGCCCCCTGCACCCCCCACGCTCCCTCCACCTGTCTCATGCTCGCCCGGGCTGTCAGAGATCTCCATGGCGTAGATCTTCAGCCCCCGTGAGCTCTTGCCGATGTTGTAGATGCGGGTGATGGTGGGACACTCCTCGTTCACCACCTTCATCAGCTGCAGGGCGGGTGGAAATGGGGGCAGCACTTGGGGGGATAAGTCCACCCCCCACAGACGATTCCAGCACCATGGAGGATCCCATCCCCCACCAAGCTGCACACCCCCAAGGAGGTGCCCACCCCCATGGAGGATCCAACCCCCACAGAGGATTCCACCACCGTGATGGATCCCATGACCATGGCCGTGTCTACCCCATGGAGGATCCCAGCCCATGGATGTGTTCATGGAGTGTCCCACCCCCCACAGAGGATCCCACCCCCCAGCGGATCTGCCCCCCAGCAGTGCCCACCTGTCTCATGTCCTTGTAGGAGTGGTGTCGGAAGTCCAGGTTGTCCGTGGAAGTCACCTCGTTCTGCTGGGTGTAGTAGCTGCTGATGGCTGTGGAGGGGTCAGGGACACAGTGGTGGGGGACAGCTGGAGAGCTGCCACCCCACCATAGCCCCCCAGGCTGCTTCGGAGTGACTGTTACCGGAAAGGGGGCACCCCAGGACCTCGAGGCGCAGGCAGAGGCTCCCATTCCAGCGCTGGGGGTAGATGCGGATGTACCGGGCCACCATCGGCTCAGGGAACTCGCTCAGCACTGGAGTGTCCTTGTCCACATTGCCATAAAACATCTGCCAAGGGGGGGAGATGTACTCGAGAGGGTCCCCATTGTCCCCATGTCCCCCCCCAAGCCTGGTCTGGGGTCCCCACCATCTCCTCGTAGCCATTGCTGTACATCACCCAGTGCTGGCTGTCGTTGCTGAAGCCCACGTAGAAGCTGGTGACAAAGTCATCACTGCAAGGGGACAGGGACAGGTTGGGACTCCCACTCCCCCCACTCCCCCCTGCCTGTGTCCCCACCTCCACCCCCATGTCC